GTATTGCCAAGTATCGATTACACCAAGCTTCCAGGTTGATGAAGCTGGAAAATTGTGCTCAACTATTTAGAGAAGTTCGCTTTCCCCGTGTCTCAGAATGATGCAGCCACCTTATATTTTTTCGTTGCATTTCATTTTCTCTTAATACAATTGGTTGATAGACATCGTTTTTCTTATCTGTGCTACTGCAAAAGGAAAGCTGCTGTTTGGCTTTGAAAAAGTTCGCATCATCACAAAGAAGGAGGACGTGTCAGACAGTTACATTACCCTTTTGACCCTGAAATTTTTTCCGTGGGGAAAATTCTTTCTTGCTATTGTTTAGTACTTGTTAGCGCAAAAATAACATAACAAAATTTAGCAGCTTAAGACACAAGCAAGCTTTGAAAACCGTCGCTGCTTCATAGTCTTCTAGCTCATGTCGAAGAAATTCCAAATTTCTTAGTTGTTTCGGGAAAGTTCTAGAATTCTGTTGGTGTCATGAAATCGTTGTGCATATCGTGTCATTTTTGCTAAGAAAGCAGTAAGGCCTGAAGTCTAATGGTCGTGTCTTGGTTCTTCTATGCCTTTCTCCTAACGTTTTTTCGCTTGAGATGAATTAGTCAGAAAACTAAAGGTCGTCTACTCTCATTCGCACATACGTAGTGGCACTTTAAAGGCAAGCCGCGGGATTAAACTGGTGCTAAGAGCGCTTCGTAGTGATAGCTTAGCTGCGGAACGACCTGAAAGTGGAAAGGAAAGAATCTTTGGGAACGCTGAAATTAAGGCCTTAACCTTCAATAAGGTCGGATGTGGTACGATGGCGAGACAGGGCGTCAAAGAAGACAAAATACGCGAGAGAGCACGCCGTTCGAGAGAGCACGCTGATCTCTACAGAAGTGGGTGGGAAGCGTTGCAACGGGTGCCGATGGTTGCATTCCTGTAAGACCGCCGTCACACTCGGCGACGGACAAGCGATATAGCGATCGCGATCTTTTCTACTTAAACACTTTTTAGAAACTTTCTGAACTGCGAGTTTTCGAATAACTTATAGCTGGCTGTGTCATTGCGGGACGTAGTGAACATAGTTTCAAAAGAGCTACTTATTGGTTTTGTTCTAGAAGTTTACGTACTATCCGTAGCACTATCCTTAAAGGCAGTGATCACGGTTGCTGGAGGGTGGTGCGGCTTTGGTGGCCATTGAACGTCTGGATTAGACCTCTCAGCTCGTTAAGGAGTGTGTCGTTAACCGCCTTCCTACTACACCTACGACGTTCAACTACGTCATCAAAAGCGCACCACCATCCTGCTATTGTGATAATCCCTTCAACATTGCTTTCAGGGTGTCTGAAACTTTAACAAATCTTCCTGCATTTGCTACTGCTTTTCATTGCTCACAGAATTCCAAAATGAATCCAAAGAAGCGGTGCTCTATATGGTGACGGGAACTCTACTGAACTTCATGATAAATGCTTCGGAAAAATTCCAAATACGTCTTTTCCTACAAATATTTCCACTCGCATTTTACACTCGCTAATAAAAAAATTTTACAGTCTCAAAAGTGTCAGATCAAATAAATTAGTAACAATAGAGAGATTTATTGGTCCCTCCGATCCTAGTAGAAATTGAAACAAGGTCCGCTAGAAGTGTTAGATGCACTTCATAATTATACGCACGACAAAGTTGCATGACCCTCGAGCTTGTCGTCGCCAGTTTCCATTTCGGGTTAATTAGTCATCGACCTCCCTGCTATCGGTATTTACATTTCTGACTAAATTATATTTCGCGGTGAACATAGTAAATCAGTAACGGACGACCGTGGCAAAAGGACGAAATTAAGCTTTTCAATTTTAATTGAGCTGCGTAGCAAACCGAGTCATCCGTTCATTGAACAGTTCTTTCAGAGGTCGTTCAGGGTGTTAAGCGCTTTTTCAAAACGGTTTTTTGCATGCTGTAGGGGCTCTCACGGGGACTACAATACTATGTTTCATTTTCGCTGAGCGGCCCCCTGAAGGCCAAAAAATGGTAAAGAAATGGTCCAAGGTTCAATCCCTCCTGATGACAAAATTTTTGCATTTTAGGTGGAGCTTCCAAATTTGCTTAAAATAGCGCCAGCACCAATATTAGGTATCGTGTCATTATCAAGACCATGAGTAGTATTGCACATAAATTTTTACCAGAATCTGGCAAAAAGTTGAAGCGCCAGACGGGAAGGCTTCAAATGGCGCCGAAGTGGCGTAAATTGGAGCTATCGGAAAAATGGATGTCATATTCGTGATCAGGGCACTCGATATTCCCTAAATCAGAAGTTTTAGAGAAAATTGAGAATTTGACCTGGATCCGAAAAATTGGCCAGTGATAGGTCAGTAGCCCATAGTTGCCTCCAGCCGGTGAACTGGAAACGAGTTCCTTGTTATCCTTCTCAAATAATGAGAAGTTCCACTACTAAATGGACAATGGGAGACACCCAAGCTGGTAATGGGCAAAAGGGACACCATGATTTTGAAGTCGGCAGATTCTCCCCTCATCAAGACGTGGTATATTGGGTCCACGGCGGTTCCACTCGCAAGGCTTCCTCGATGGCTAGAGCGATTTCAAGGACTGCGACGTGGTGGAAGGACATTCTCTATGGGACGAACTTTGGTTTCCGTGAGCCATCAGGGCATTCGCTTCAATTCCGTGCCGCGCTCATTTCAAGTCGCCCACTAGCGTGCGCAACGAGCTGTAGCCCATGGTCACCCCACTCTTTCGACGTTAGGTCAAAATCTCGATCTTCCCTGAAATTTGGCCCAGGGCAAATTAGGATCAGGGTCAACCGTCCATTCGATAAAGTCCAACGAGAGGGTGGTATTCGGCGGTCGTATCGGCCGAACCGAAGAAGGGGCCGTGCTAGTTGCAAGGGTCAACGCGCATAGGTAGGTAAGCCGGCGATTCGATGCTTTTCCTTCCAACACTGCTTAACCTACAAACAAGTGCATGGCGCACCTCAGAGCAGAAGAGTCCACTGCAGTAGTGTCCATATGTGACTGCTCACGTGCACAAATATGCTTCTGAAGAGAAACAATGTCTTCAAACTGAACCTATGTTAGTAAAAGAGTGACACTTGGGTAGATTGACTGCTAAAGCTAACAAGAGAAGTTGTGAAAAAATCTCAACCTTTGTTAAAGTTCACTTTTCTTTAAAAATCACCCCGTTGCATCGGTTAAGACGGGTTCTCTGGCTTTTGATGGACAATAACTTTCTTCAGGAGAGACCTCTTGCAGTTCTTGTCCCCCTGTGAACTAGAAATAATAGCTTTCTAATGAATAGCTTGTTTCCACAATGACCTAATCAAAAATTCGTCCCGTTGGACCGTTTTTTTTTTCATGAATTTTCGGAGCTACTCTCCTAAAAACACGAGTTTTCAACGCTCATACACTCAGTCGTCTGTCGGCGACTTCCTGAAAAGAGTTTAGTATCTGTTATGAAGCACAAAGGTTGTGCGATCTTCATGGTACCATTACTCCCATAAAATTGAGTTTGAAGAGAGCTGTGAGTGTTTGAGTGTTGAAAACTCGTGTTTTCAGGAGAGTAGCTCCGAAAATTCATGAAAAAAGAACGGTCCAACGGAGCGATTTTTTGGTGGTCAAATGCGCGATCGAGTTCAAAGCTATTTCTTAGAAAGCTTGTTTCTAGGTTTACTCAGGGGGCGACAAGATTGCAGAGATCTTGAAGAAAGTTATAGTCATTGAAAGCCAAAAAACCCAGTTGTGCACAAAAAACGGTGCAACGGGGAGATTTTTGAAGAAATGAAACTTTACAAAAGTTCGAGTACTTTTTAGAAAGAAAACAATCTGGAGTTTCGAAATTTTCTTACCACTTCTCACACCTTCTTATTTGAAGAAAAATTACAACCTTTCAAATGAAGAAGTGCGCTTCTCTGTGAATTCTCTACATAAACTAAAAGAGCTCTCGAGGGTAACGCGTATGCGTTTCTGGAAACTAGCAGTCATCGTAGATACAAATCTTACTTGTCGTTTGAAAAAATATTGACGTTGAATAGAATTACACTCTGGAAATTAGTGGTCAGCATTGGTCCTCCGCGCTAGGCCAAGCAGAAGATTGTGCGCGCCAATCAAACGTGCTACGATTAGTCTGGTGTAACGCTCGAAATAATTAGTTCGAAGTAGTACGCAAACACACACACGCAATTACCAAGTGTGCAGTGCACAGTAGTTGTTTGGGGGGGGGTCGTATTGAGACTCGCCAGACCGTAGATTTTCGAATCTGCTGAACATCCGTCAACGGGTTTGCGTCCTTGATCGTATAATGTATGCTATACGAAGTTATTACGCACCATTTGGTGCTTCGAATTTATTCCGTTAGTTTTTCATAGAAAACACATTTGCAGGGGCTATACAGGGGTGGCCAAAAAAAAAGAGACACTTCACTCCACATTTTCGTTCAACCTCCTCTACCTTTCACTCTAACGTTTTCATGCGTCAATTGGAATGGCAACTTTACCACTTTCGTATGCGACGGTATCGTCACCATTAAGCGAACAAGCGAGCGAGGATGGCTGGCTACTTTTCGGCTGCCTTCAGTTGGTAAGCGTCCGTTTACAGATGAACTTTTAACAGAAGACATATGTTGTTTTGAAAAACTGATTGCCCCTCACGCAAGTGCTGAGGGGAATCTGGTGTTCCTAACTACGATAACGATCGACGACAGGGATGCTGCCGTTTTCGCTAAGAATCGAAGATCAGGTGGCCAGGGCACGTCGTACGATTTTGCGATAAACGCTGGACCGCAGCGGTTACTAGCTCGATTCTTGTTTTTGTTTTGTAGAGACATCATTTAATATCCATATCATTTATCCATTCTATTTTTTTTGTATTTTTCACATTTCAAGTGATCAATTATCGCTGTAGCTGCCTTCAAGTAGCGATGCTGATGCGAAATTGAATGGTGCAAACAGTTTTACAAATAAAGCAGAGTCAACAGTAGCATTTGTACCGGGCTGACGGGCAGGCTTAAATGTTTCCTAAGATTTCTTTCCATTGCTGAATCTAACAATGAATCATTTGTGAATATAGCTCATCATCATGCGAATTATTTTTGAAGCCACGAAATGCGGAAAAGTGGAAAGGTAAGAAAGCCTTGACTCAACTCAGAACACGTGGTCACGTCCATTTTCCATCATGGAAGCAGGAGTACATGTGGATGTTCTAGACAAATGTGCTTGTTCCTGCTCCGTAGGTTTTGCTGCCCCGTTTAAAATTGAAAATCCGTCAAAGAATACTTCACAAATGGAGAAACGAAACTATTCTTGACTTAGCTTCTGATGTGCATAAACAATTCAGAATAATTAATCGTGCGCAACATATCAACGACAAAATACAGCAAAAAGTGATATCACAGAAAGAGTGAAATATCTTGTAGTAATCTGATAAATGAATGTATCTGCATATTATAAACATGAATCATAGAAATTTTGATACTCTTCGAAAAGTAGAGTTGAAAACTCAACAACACCCAGTCACAATGCCATTTACCATCTTGAATCTATCAGTTCGACGATTGCATCACGATTACGCATTATAGTGGTCCGTGGGCTCAACGATATGCTCACAGTACCTTGAGGGGTTGTCAGAATAGCCACTGCTCTTTGTTCCAGTGTTGAAGAAAAGAGCTGTAAAACAGAATTTGCAGTGAAACATAACAGTCAGAAACTTCAAGGAAAAGAATGGTTTGTTCGAAAGGAGTCTCCGAGTGCATGTCACAAAATCGTGTCATCCACTGTGTTTTTCGAGCAGATTCGGTTGCTGAAAGATTTCTGACCAAAAATATCGTGGGCACATCTGCATGTGGTACGACTTTAAAGGAATCCTTCGCGGAAAAATCATGATTCTATTTCAGCCATAAATCACTGGCTTGAGACTCATTATCCACGATAAGAAAAAGAACAGAAATATTGCTTTCGTTTTGGTAAAAAATTCGAAAAATCGAAAGGGCTGCTACGCGTTCAAATTGCCCACGGACGTCTTTCACAAATGCTGGCGACGGGGATGCTTCCACTTGGTTCTTGGAGTGCCTTCACTAGAAACTCTTTCTGGCATTCACATCTTACACTTCTACTCCATCCTATTCTATCGATCGATTTCTCTCTACTCTTACTCTACTCTATTCCCCTCTACCCGAATTACCTTCGATGTTCATATACGTTTGTTTCTCTTCAGAAACCGAATCTTCATGCGTGAAACTTTGTGTGCTATTTCCAGTGATCACAACTGACACATTCATGTCAAGAAAGAATGCAAGAATTTTCCGCGCAAGGATTCCTTTAAGCAAGGAAAAACGTCTGCAGAATCCCATCGTATTCTGCACAGAACATTCAACAGAGATGTTGCCATCTTTGGAGCAATGTCAGCAATGGTTTCAGCGCTTCCGAAATGACGATGACAGCCTTGAGGAAGTGGAGCTCGACATCGACCTCAACTCGTGCATAACGAAGAATCGTCGATTCGGACTCTCTCCTAATTACACGTGAACTCACACAATGAGCGCTCATTACCATCGAAAAGCATAGTATGCTTTTGGAAGGTCTGTTCGGTGGTGAAAATGGGTTCCTCATCAACTGAGCGACGTGAACAAGGCAGCACGCGTTGCTACGGACGGAATTTTGCGCCACCATTCCAAGAACAGAAGATTTTTCAACTCCATTCCTAACCTCCCCTTCAAAAAGCGAGAAAGTGTCGGGTGCAGACCAAACACCACAACTGACGACGGCCTCCAAGTAAATCTGGTTAGAAGTTGTTCATAGTGATAGCTGATTTCTGGTAAATGATAGTTGTAATTAGTGACAATCGATAGAATACAACTGCAACAGGCTAATCATTTCATTGGCAGAAAACATTAACATTTTGTGAAGGCCGTCGTCACTTGTGGTGCATGGTCTGCACCCGACACTTTCTCGCTTTTTGAAGGAGAGGATACGTCAGATGAGAGGTAAATACTCCTTGATAACGATGTGAGAAAAAGGCAGTGGTTATAACCAGGTGAACAGCCGATTCCGACGCCGAAACCGGACCTCCATGGAAGGAAAGTCATTCTAGGTCTTCTTCTTCTTCTTCTCCCTAGCGTTAGTCCCGCGCAGTCGCAGGGTCCGCTGTCTTTATCAGTCGTCGCCACTTTGCTCTGTCCAGGGCATCTTCTGCTGTGGCCATGACTTCACTTAGGTCCTTCTTGATATCTCTCCACCTCTTCTTTGGGGCTCCTCGCGGTCGCTTGCCTTGCACTTCGAAGTCCATCGCTGTTCCTTATCGGTGGTCCTGTGGCCTCCTTAGCACATGCCCATACCATCGCAGTCGCTGCTCCCTCACCTTCAGCTGGACAGGGGCAGTCTGCATGACCGCTCTGACATCCTCGTTCCTGACCCTGTCCAGTCGCGTCCAGCCGCAGGCCCACCTCAGCATCCTCATCTCAGCGGAGTGAAGCTGCCTTTCGTGATTCTTGTTCAGGGGCCAGCACGCGCTGCCGTATCGGCGCCAGGCTTCACTAGATAGCACAATTACAACGATTGTCGGTACATCACTTTCGACACAATAACTGTTAAAACGGTATCAGTGCCTCCGACTTCTGTAGATCGCAACACTATCATTGCCTTCTTGGCACCGCGACGATCTTGATACGCTGATCGGGCGTGGCTAGACCGGCAAGATAATGGAACAGAAGCAAATGTTGTGGACTACGAATATCGGAAGGCAGGTATGAGGAGAGAATAGGAAGCTGATGCGGTAGACGGGAGGGGGAGCTTACGAGAATCGAAGTAGCAACAAATGGAGTAGCAGACGGTGAAGTGAATACAGGTCAAGATACGATCGACAAAATGCGATAGTATGCTGATCTAGACTAGACGCCGCATCAGAATTTGCGCCTGCCCGCGCGTGCAGACACAATACTAGGTTAGGGCCCACGGCAATTTTAGCACGGCAGTTAGCGTTGTGCAGTGAGCCACGACGTGGTCGATGCGAAGACATCGGCTGCACAAATGCAGCTTGGCCACAATCGTAGGCTGGCTTACAGAATTCCGGATAACGGTGGCAACGTGCGGTGGATGGCCATCCACATTCTCGTTAATCGAGCAGAAAACGCATGATTTATGCTGATTTAGTTACAGAACGGTCGAAGAAAAAATGGACCGCTTCATTTATCTCAGCAACCATAGCGAATAGGGTGTCCAGCGATTAGTGATGCTTCGCAAGGTGCTGCGAATGGCATAATGCGAAACCTGACGCTCAAAGTCCATCAGTTGGATTTCGCGTGAGGTCGTCTGCCATCTCGCAGTGAATGAATAAGCTGAAATAGTTTAATGGCTACGTGCTAAAAAAAAGTCTGATTTGTATGTATGATTTCTCGTTGTTGTTTATCTAGCAGCTCTCTCACTTGTTGCAGCGTACGGATCTCAAAACAACCGCTAGTGCACAACGCTTGTGTAAAGATAAGTTTGAGCGAGGCTAGGTTTGGGCTGCTGTTAGAAGCATTAGTGGACCAAACGAGACGTGAGGAAAACCAAAACTAGTAGGGTTATTAGAACAGCTGCTGCATATTTTTAGTGCACAAAGAAAACTAGCAACAATGGAAGAAAGTCGGGTATGTGCATTTCCGAACTAGACGAATTGTGATACCTCTCCGAATGCATTATTAGGAAAGATGTTCGATTCTTCTGTATTTCAAAATACTTTAGGACCCTTCCAATCTCATGATAACCTTTTCACCAGCGCATCTTGTATAGGATTCTGCATTTATTAGCGCCTTTTCAACAGTCAACAATGGCGTTGGCGGTTTTATTAGCGCGTTTCGTAGCGCGAAACATTTTTCGCTGCGGTGACCTCATCCACCGCTGATCATTAGTGGATACGAGGTTCCCGCAGCGAAAAATGTTTCGCGCTGCGAAAAGGGAAAAAGTCGCTTTCTGTCCTAGTGAATCACACCCCATTAGCGCATTTCACAGTTGTCCAGGGATTGACCGCAACGGCAGATGACACCTCTACAGAACTGCCGTGGTGGCAACTGTAGCACTCTTGCAGTTTTCCATTTTTCTGAACTTTTCTGCTGATTACGGATATCTCTGGCGTTCGTTGACACGACGGAAATTTTCGTCGCATGTTCTGCACTCTGTTCGTTCCGCTGAGTGTTTTGAAATGCAGACGAAATCTCACTCTCCTGGGATATCAACGGGAAATGCTTTATTCTTGTCCTTTACT